AGTTTTTTTAAAGAAAGATATTTTTACATTTAATCATTTAGGAGACACTTTTATCCAAAGAGAAAAAATTACAAATTGTAAATAAATAAATTAAATAAAAAAAATGTATTTAAAATTACATTGTTAATTTAATTTTAAAATTTTACATATGCATATGTGTGTTTTGTGGCATAATCTAGAATTAAATTATCTCAAAGCTACAGACAGAAACGAAATTTTAATTTCATGAGGTCTTTAAATCAGTGCCATTTAAATGCCAGTTTGATTTTATTTCTAAACAAAGGACAGCTGGAACAGAGGCAGACGGGATACCAACCAATAAGTATGCTCACATTCATTCTGGGCAACGATTTACCAATTGCATGGGAGCAAAAACAAGGCATTTAACAAGGTAATTAACGATGGATAATTGATTTCCACAACACACAGGAATTTTTGATCTAAAAGTGATTGTGTATGAACCAAACACCTTGCAAAATCTACAATCCTCATCAAACTCCCTCTTGATTAGTCAGAGGCGTGTTATCAAATACCATAAGATGGGAGTCTGTCTCGAAAATTGTTCCGCGAGACAGCAACACCTGGGGAAAAAAATGGGATTGCACAGTAACCTCAAAAAGGAAGAATTACAACATACATTATGAACATAATTTTAGAAACTCCAACTAGGAAATTATTTTTATTTCTGTCCCTAATCAGGATGTGCGAGTTGGACCCAAACACCTCCAGAATCAGTGTGTTGGGTAGTTAAGTCCACTGTTAGTCACTAACTGATTGGGTTTGGACAGGTTTAGTGTACCTATAGAGGGAAGTCTGTCTCGAATATTGCTCCTAGACACTGTGACCCCTGAGAAAACATAAAACAAGACCACTGAAGAAATGTTAGAAATTTATATGGACACAACAGCACTGAGCATGTGCAGTTATGATTAAAAACTATAACAACTAACTAAAACGAGATGCGACAGTCTGGTCACAGACAGTGGAAGGTCAGACATTTTGCTCACTATATTCATTCTCAGGACAAATTTTGACTAAACATTCACTTAAAAACAAGAACTAATTGCTGCACTCAACAGCAGACAGAAGCGTCTCACATACTGTCTGTATGAACAAATTAAGTCATTTTAGGCCTGGGCGATAAAACGGTATCGATATTTATCGACGGTACACCTTCTTCGATAACGATATAAAAATTTTCGATATAGTGCACGATATTGAGTGCTGCGCCTGCTTGTGATGAGGAGATTGTGAATAAAAAAATAGCTTGTAACACTCCAAAGAGAAAGGAAAACTTGAAATCGCATCATATGACCCCTTTAAGCAATGCATAAATACATGAGACTGTTTTGTTCATAATTGTTTATGCAATTTACAAAATTATTATTTATATTATTTTATATTATATATTATTTATATGAGTTAATTTTGACGTAATGCATGTTTTTTTTATAGACAGTTATTTCCATGCGTTGACATTATGTGCTGCATTATTTTGCTCATTGCGCCCTCCTGTGGCCTCGGGAGACAAGACAAAAGTTTCCCTAAAACCTATTTAATCTGCATATAAAACATTAGATATTTGTTTAATTTTTATTGTGAGTTTGACTGTTAAAACAAAAAAAATATTTGTTGTTTGTCTCAATAAATTGGGTTAATTTCAAAATACAGTGTTTTTTTAAATTTAAACATTTTTTTCTATTGCTCTTTGTTTTAAAAAAGGTTATAAAAAATTTCAATAATTATCGATACCGAACGATATGAAACATTATATCGTTGATACATTTTTTAGCTATATCGCCCAGCCCTAAGTCATTTAAATTAAATTAAATTTTCTATTCAGTTTAAATTCTGATTTTTAAATGCCTGAATGTGCTTGAACTTATAATTAAACCAAAAATCCAATAAACCAGACTGTGCTCTGCTTTCAGAATGAAGTAACAGCCACAACGTAGTTTATAGACTGACTTGATACCCTTTTTCCATCGAAATGGTGCTGATGCTCAACAATAATGGCTGAGTCAAACATATCACATTGAAATTGTTGTTCACAAGTCTTTTACTCCTAGTTTTGAGAAAATACTTTAACAACCAAAGTAAATTAATGCAGCTACTTTATGAACACAAACTGGCTTTGATGTAACAATTAGAGGATTCTTTAAAGATTTTGAAAGAAGACATTTTTTGCTCACCGAGGCTGCATTTATTTGATCAAAAAAGTAAAAATTGTGAAATATTATTGCATTTAAAATAACTGTTTTCTATGTGAATTTACTGTAAACTGTAATTTATTTCTGTGATGCGCAGCTGTATTTTCAGCATCATTACTGCAGTCTTCAGTGTCACATAATCCTTCAGAAATCATTCTAATGATGCTGATTTGCTGCTCAAGAAACATTTCTGATTATTATCAATGTTGAAAACAGTTGTGTTGCTTCTTGTTTATGTTAATTATTCCAAACTTTTGACTAGTAGCATATTATGTAACAAATAAAATTCATAGCAATCACATGTGATATTTGTAAATGAAACCATTTCAGATTGTAGAGCAGAGCAGTCACCAGCGCCATGTCGGTGGAAAAAGGGCTAAAAGTGATAATGATAAGAGAACAGCACAGTTGTGTGAGTACCAGAAGAGGGCAGAGTTTCACGACACTCGAGTTTCTTACAAACAGCAACACCTAGAAATGGAAAAACAGTCAAAGACAATGTTCACACATCACTGCAGGACTGAGATTCAAACAGAATGATCAGTAAAATCCCATCACAAACACTAAAACAACATCTGAGATTATTGGTTGATTGCGGTTTTAACATCATGCCAGCTTCCTTGACCATTTCCATGGTAAGTAGCAGTTCAAGTGCTAAGAAACAGCCATTTAAAAAGGTTTTTAAAGTTTACTTTGGATAATAATTCTAAAAATGGATTCAGGATTGACTCTGTTAAAAGTTTATTTGAAAGTGTTTGCTGAGTAATATAATTTACATCTGAGATTAATATGTAGTGCAACAAAAAACAAACAAACAATGTGTATATGTAGAGGCTCTGTTGCACATCCTATGGTACTGAATGATTACCACATTCATTTACCATAGTATTTATATGCTACTTTATGGAATATCACGGTAATACAACCACAGTAGCATCCAATAAACCAATGCAATTCATAAGAGAGCCTTGTAATGTGGTGCACAGTCAGATCTTACCGAGGAAAGCGTCCACGAGGCAGCTGACGCCCCTCATCGCTCTGAAGAAGATCTGAGGCAGCTGTTTGAGGCAGGGGTGCTGAATGACCTCGTGAGGAACGCTGTTTCCCCCCAACAACTGCTCCTGAAACTTTGGGGTGGAACTCACTATGACGGGATTGCTCAGGTCCACGGGGTTACTGAAGGAGAGAGATATAAACAAACAACTTAGGTAAGTAATCATGAGCAGAATGGATCCAGTGGACTGGGACAGTAAGCAGTAGGGCTGTCAAAATGGCTGAAAACTAAATTCGAATTATATTAGAATTTAAAATGCATAATTTCAGTTAGGGTGAAGAAAAGCTTTTGGTTTCTCTCTTGAGGCCACAAGAGGGCGCATCGAGCAAAATATTACTAATGCACGTTTATTCAAAGCATAAGATAACATGACTATCTGTGAAAAAAAGTGCATAATGTTTAAAAACCCTGCCATAAAGTCTTGAGACATGTTTTTTAAAAGTTGAACTTGCATTAATTTTACATGGTTTTCTAAACATGGGGCTCTCTTGTGCGAGACGCGAGTGCAACGGTGATAGATGTCCCTCTAGAAAATGCGATAAATATGCGTGGTTTCAGTTTTGATGTAAACACGATCTTCTCCGCATTGGTGTTCTCTTTTCCCGCAATATTTTGAATGAACAACGCAGCAGCGCCATCTAGTGGCTTCAACTGGATATGCTAACAAAAACATTATAATGCAACGACACTTACATCGTCCTCGCATCTCGTGCGCCACTGATAAGGCTGCCTCCTTAACGCACACCTAAAATTCTAATGCAATGTTTTTGCATTCGAATGTGGATTTTTATTTAAAATTTGACAAATATTCGAAATTCGATTTTTTTTTTTGACAGCCCTAGTAAGCAGATGAAGTCAGTTCGACTGCAGACCTGAGCATGTGTAGAAATCGATACCACGTCTGAGCCACACAGTCGTTGTCCATCTCAGCGGGGATGAGGCTGGCGTCTTCCTCTGGCACTTTAAACGGAGGGAAGGACGGGCCGTACATGAACCGCAGCAGCCTGTGTGGACAACAAAACAAATAAGATGAAGGTCAAACAAAAGCATCGACATCAGTACAAAAAAGGCTGTCTGTTTTACCGATTCCTGTAGCTCTAACAGTAGAGCATGGTGCTAGCAATGCCAAGGTCAAGAGAATGCATGACCTGATAAAATGCTAAAAGAAAAATCTATAATTTTGACCCATACAATGTATTTTTGGCTATTGCTACAAATATAACCCAGCGACTTAAGACTGGTTTTGTGCTCAAGGGTCACATATAAGTAACTTTCAGTAAAGGCTGTCAAATCTGCCAAATGCATAAACATAAATGTAAATTCAACTGAACTAACGGCTACATAGCAACATCTTGTGGTCAAAAGGTCTGTTTCAGTCTCTCTGGTGATTAAACTTACAACTCCGTGACCTTTTTGGATCTTCTAAGTTTTGGTTACTTGGACTTTCAAAGGATGGGTATTAAACTTTTTGGTTTCATTATAAATATCTTGATTTGTCTTTCAAATATTAACCAAAGGCTCATGAGTTTGTAACGACATGAGGGTGAATAAATTACTCTAATTTTTATTTTTGGCTGAACTATGTGCAAAAGTACATATTTTTCAAAAAAAGCAGTTATTTTAAAACAATTTCTGTTTTGGAACATTTTTAATGAATTTTGAGTGCATATAGTGCAATCTCAATTGGTATGAGTAAACTGTTATACATGTAATTATTTTCTTTTTTGAGCTTGTTGCCTTTAATGAACAGGATTTGAACCTGCATTTCTGAAAGCACAATGATTGTGTGACGCAAACAAGCATCTTTCCCACTTTGTTCTGACTGAGCATATAAATAAATTCACTACCTAGACAAGTGCATAACAATGAAAGGGCCAAAGTAAAAGCTATCAGCTTTCTAGCTGTATATATGTATATATGCATATATGGGTCAAAGACAAGACGTCCGTAATTTGTCTGCATCAAATTAAATTTACAAACAGGATTTTATATACATAGAAAGCATATTAAATCCACGTAAAGTGTCTACTTTAATGTTTCAAATAACTTTTATGAAAAATACAGGTGAAACAATGTTTCATCATCATTCAGCATAACAGATATTTAAGGAAAAATGAAACAACATACTTATTCTGACCTGCACTTATTAAAATATATAAAAGAATAAGTGATCATACTAAATTTTATTATATTTTAAATTAGATTAAAAATGTCTCGTTGACAAATGGGAAATATCTAGTGGTTTGAAGGATAGTGGCAAAGAATGGTAAAGATTTAAAATTAGATTTTTAAGGCTGCACTGGAATCCTTAAATAGTGTCTTTCAATGTCATCCAATGATTCTTGTTATAAATACGCCTGACAAGATTTTTTTGGTATATGAAATATTGTTACACTGAATGACATTTTAGTGCATGTAAAAAATGTGTGATATTACTTTTTGCTCAGAAAAAATTAAAATAAATAAATACACAGGACACATTCTAATGTACAAACAAACAAATAAATGCTATATTACACATTTATTTATATTGTATTTATTTGTCTCTGACCTAGAGCATCAGCTGCTCAATACTGTGCAGAAATGATATTCTGTATTGTCCCAGTTAAATAAACTATGAACAGAAATAAAGCTGCAGCGATGATGCAGGCCTGCAGTACCTGGAAGTGAGAGCAGCGATGACTTTACTCCACTGCTCCACCACCGGAGGGTGATGTCTCCAGTTGGCCAGCATCTCTCGGGCCGTCTTCCAGTAGGGCGGCGTGGGGAAGCAGCGAGTGCAGGCCAGGAACCAAACCTCAAACAGCACGCTGATCAACTTCTCTGCCAGCTTCTCTGCTATTCCACCTACAGGAGACACAACCAGCCATACCTGTCGTCTACACGTTCAGCACGATCAGCAGCACTAGTGGAACAAGGGCCATTCATTTTGACTTGTAGCCAGAGCTTTTGCTTAGAAAACAGCACTTTTAGACTAGAAAATGCACTTCATTAAAAAAAAAAAAGCAGAAATGTGACCCTGGAGCACGTACGGGAACTTACTGTTAATCTATTAACAGTTTTTTTCCGTAGCGTTTTTACAAAATTTTACAGTTAAAATTACACTTATTTTTTACAGTGCAGTTATAAGGGTCAATTTTTCGAAATTAAGATTTATACATAAATAAGCTGAATAAATAAGCTTTCCATTGATGTGTGGTTTGTTAGGATAGGACAATATTTGGCCGAGATACAACTATTTGAAAATCTGGAATCTGAGGGTGCAAAAAAATCTAAATGTTGAGAAAATCATCTTTAAAGTTGTCCAAATTAAGTCTTTAGCAATGCATATTACTAATCAAAAATTAAGTTTTGATATATTTACGGTAGGAAATTTACTAAATATCTTCATGGAACATGATCTTTACTTAATATCCTAATGATTTTTGGCATAAAAGAAAAATGGATAATTTTGACCCATACAATGTATTTTTGGCTATTGCTACAAATATACCCCAGCGACTTAACACTGCTTTTGTGCTGCAGGGTCACATATGTGCAGCTTGTTTTTGCTGAAATACTTCCTTAATGTATTATGGAGCTGCAAAGTCAAAATATGATTCAGAGATGCAACCAGGTAAGGGAGGAAAAAGGTGAGAAATTTGCGTGGATCGGGGGCTTGCTCCACACGGAATTTCTTTTAAAGATATTTGCTTTACATGCTCATTTGTAGTTACTTTAACATATTTTAAAAAATATTTAGTATTACCTTATATGTCCAAAACTGTAATTTTTCACAAAAACACCAACAACAACAACTAAAATCATTTCTTAACATCTTGTTGCAACATTTTACAAAAATCAAGATTGAATAAGATTGGTCAAAATCCCATGTTATAATAGATGAAGTGCTCTGCAGGCTATTTAAGACAATATTGGCTGATTACACGGCAATGCTGACCTAAAATGCTAAATGTGCCCTCTCTCTCTTCACCGTTCCCACATCTCAGACCTCAAATACATAAAATATTACCCTTTTTAGACATAGTTTTTAAAGTAAGGCGTAAAGAAAATACTATACAAAACTTATTGAAACAACCAAAAAATTTAATTACTAACTTTTTAAGACTAGTCTAAATAGTTTATGCAACCGGGCCCAGTTCTTTATTTACCCTTGTAAGACCCCCCACCCCTCCCCTCCCCTCGTGAAAACACTTTCTCATTGGCTCTAAGCAAATCTCATAGGTGACCTATTTTGATCTAAAAAAAGTGAGTTATTACTGAAAGGTGAGGAGTTTGCATCTATGAATGATTGGTTGATATTTTTGCATATGAAAACAATTAAAACAACAAAAAGTAAAGACAACATTTCAACATGTCATATAAATCTGATTATGTATGGTTGATAAAAAAATAAAAATAAAAAAAAAAACAGAATTTTTGATTGCAGAAAAATAAGCAAAGCAAATTTTACACATTTCTGCACTCGTTATCTTAAAACAGGAAACACAATTACATCAAAGGAGGTTCATTTGCATACTGCACACAAAATGCAGTTTGTTTAGATGCAAAGCGTGCACCTTCTCTCATTTGTTTGTCAGTCAATGTAAGGTCTAGTTAAATCTATTTTAGAGGGAAACATCACTGTGTTTGACATACGCACCTCCCACAGTGGGCGGGGCCAGTAGCGTGTCATTGATGCGCAGCAGGAAGAGAAGCAGCACCTCCCAGGTCTCTCTGGCCATGCCGTTCGAGTCACGGGTCAACTTCTGCACTGCTGACAGCACTTGCTGACACAATTTAAAGTGCACCAGGCTGAAGTGCTCTGGTCTGAAAGAAAGAAGCAAGAATATTCAAAATCAGAAAGCACAAACAGGAAGTGCTACACTTACTAGACAGAACCCAAGCCTATCATCACATGCTCAAATCCAAAAATAATATTGTTAATGTTCTAGGAGAGCCATTTCATCAGAACAAAACAAATAATTTTCTTTATTAAAAAAAGCTTAAATGTTTAATCATTTTAAGGAGATTTCTAATACATATAATAGGTATTAGTATATTAAAAGTATAATAGTACACTAATAGTGTGTGTATATATATATAAAACATTGTGGAAAAGGAAGCATTTATGTAATTTCATTACACATTTCTGCGCTATTATTCTAAAACAGGAAACACAATTATAAATAAAATACATTATAAATAAAAATATATTTTTATTAAAATCTTTCATCAAATAGCAGTATGAGGGAAAAATAATATTTTTTTGTTTTGTTTTTTTTAATGAGATTTTACATAAATTTATCATATAGCAGTACAGAGGAAAAAGTAATAATTTTCTTATTCTGAAAATTTTCAACAAGCATTTTAACAAGATTTTTAATATATATTTTTAATTATAATTATCTATCTATCATTGTTTGTTTGAGCTGCAATAGACACTTTTTCATTAAGCTGCATACAACATACAAAATAATTGTTTTTTATTTTATGAGATATTAAGTGGACACCGCTAATTGAAATAAATGTTACAACATCAATGAAGCACAATAATGTTTGAAATTATTGTTGCATACTGTACAATGTTTCCCAAAAACAAGTGGGCTCCCCCAAAGTCCACGGAATAGTTCGAACGCTGCCCATACTATTATCCAAAAAAATAAAAAATAAAAAAATACTGTAGGTAGTGTACAGTACAAAGTGTGCAGTATGCAGTGTTCATCAATGCAGTCACGGAACAGTTTGGTGCACAGTGCATCATGGGTAATTAAAACCATAGGCCGAAACACACCTGGGCAGGAAAAGGTTGTGCAAGTGTTTGAGGATGGTTTGGACGTAGAGGTTGGGCTCTTTGATGATGGGCTGGGGTATAGAGTCTCGTGGAGACACCAGGGCCATTATCCAGTCAGTGTAGACATCCACACACAACTTAACCGTGTCTCCATCCAGCGGGAGCGTCAGGCCATAACACAGCACCTCCATGGTCCATTTCACCTGAGGAGGACAGCACAGCATTAGATGGACTAATGACTACCTAAACCGGTTTGAGATGGATCAACAATGCTTGAGCTTGAGGTTTGATGACTCCCTCATGCATGTTTGTGAGTGAAACACACTGGTTCTGTCAGCAGGAAACAGAACAGCACTGCATTCAATGGATCTGCATTTTTGTGCGTTTATATTCCAAACAGCATCAGTCACCATGGGCGGCAATGAGCTGGATCAGAGGTCAGAAAAAAGGTCAGGGAAAAAAAAAAAATCAGAGGCCAAGAGGGAATGGACAGGATTTCCTCTCCTCTTATCACAGTACACAGAAGCCTACAGGAACTCCACGCACTATGCAATGGAACTCAGTGAAAGACACACACGCACACACACTCAAAACTACTGGCAATTTTTGAATTTCATAAAACACCGTTTTGTATGTTTTTTAAGCCTTTATAAACCATATATACCAATACTCACACACACACACACACTCTCTCTCACACACACACACACACACTCACTCACTCACGTCATTATACACATTTGTGTCCTCATAAACCATATATACCAGTACACACACACACACACACTCTCTCTCACACACACACACTGACTCACTCACGTCATTATACACATTTGTGTCCTCATAAACCATATATACCAGTACACACACACACACACACACACACAGAAACACACAAGCAAATGAAGGTTTTGAGCAACACTGAAACCCACCCAGATACACAAACAAACAGAACAAACTCAACAAAGCCTTAAAACAGACTCAAACGTTTGCACTAATAACATCACAGCATGTCTCTCATTTTAGATCAAGACGTAACTCGAGCAGCATGTTTTGCGTCTAACCAAATTATGCAAATAAACGACTGAGGAAACGACAGTGCTGCTCTTTAACTTCCTAATAAAATCTAACTTTATTAGGAACTGCAACATTATACGGTTTACGTCAAATAGAGCTCATAAAGTCAATTTGTAGGCCAATCCAGAGGCTAATTCACAATCAGTAAAACGGGTTTTTGGAACAGCAGTTTTGGATTTATAAATAAAAAGTGGTTCAGTGGTTATCATTACTTAAAGAGACATTTTTTCTCTTTTTCTCTACTTAAGTCGCTGTTTTGTTAAAAAAAAAAAAGACCACAACTTCTACAAGGATGTTACACCCTTGATGAATTAGTAATTTTTTCGCAACTTTAAAGAACAGTGGCTTCAAATTTTATGGAATGTAATTTATGTTTTAGAACAAAATGCAAAAGTCTGTCCTGTTAACATTAATTTATGCATAAATCATAATCTACTGAAAATACATTTTGAGGGATTAAAGATAAAAAACCATCTACTAACAAAATCATTTATGACCTGCACAAAGAGTAATCATCTGAAATGTTTTTTCCTCCATATTTCATGGAATATTCCTCACATTAAGTAACTAAATATATAAAATATGAAGAACAAAATTATAATTTGGTTTATATGGCATATATATGATCCTGTGAGTGACAAGATAAATATGCAAAAACTCATTAATATGCAAAAACAGATAAATAAGATTTTTAGTCAAGGCAAATTTATTTATATAGCATTAGCACATTTCATATAGAGTGATAAAAGTGCTTTACATATTTTTTTTTTAATTAGAAAGGTAGGAAATAAAGTAGTGCAGTCAAACGATTAATCGCATCCAAAATAAATGTTTTTGTTTACATAATATATGTGTGTGTACTGTGTATATTTATTATGTATATATAAATACAAACACATGCATGTATATATTTAAGAAAAATAAGTTATGTTTATATATTAAATAAATGTATATATTATATAAAATATAATTATATAAATGTATATACATGTAAATATTTTCAAAATATGAGTTTGAGTGTGTGTTTATATACACATAATAAACAAACACAGTACACATACATATATTATGTAAACAAAAACTTTTATTTTGGATGCGATTAATCATTTGACAGCACTAAAATAAAGATAAAAGGTAAAACCGTCATTAAAAATAGCTAAAAAGTAATTCAAATGAAATAATAGATGCTCATAGTGTAAATTTAAATTTATAACGTTTTAAAAATATGTCTAAATTAAAATAATGCAGTTGCATTTTCAACAAGTAATATTTATGGCTGGTAAGTGTTCTCTTTGGCAGGTCTGGTAAAAAGTGAATTTGAACCATGTCAAATACAAGTCAAATTGCACATAATCTGTTCTGAGGAAACCAAACATTTCCCAGCCAAAAACCTGGGGCCTCAATTATCAACAGTGCGTAGAAAAGGTTCTCTATTTTGTCCTTATATTTACACACATTCCTACATACAAGTACAAGTTGGTAAATCACACACTTTGCGTGAAACGCACTGTTGATAAATGAGGGCCCTGGATGTTGCTCTTGAGCTCAGAAGAAGTTAATAGTTAACAGGTTGGACGTCTGAATTAATTCAAACATGCCACCCAGTAAGTCAACCTTGAATTCCTGCACAGCCTCGGGTTTGAACTGAAGACTCTTCACAGGTGAGAGATGTTATGAAACACACACACACACACACACTTCTTACCTCCTTGTCAGTCTTGAGGAGGCACTCAGACGGCGCTCCTCCGAGGCTGTTTCCCAGGGGCCGCACCACAGCGTTTGCCACGTCTCGACCCACGCCGGCTGGGTAAGTGTGTAAGACGCTCAGGTGCCCCTGATCGTTCTGGACCACCAGGTGTAAAGAGCGCCACTCAGAGTACATGACCGCGACTTCTGCTGGATCTGACAGCGGCCTGAGGAGAGACGCAAACCAGACGCGCAATCACAGGTTTGAAGGTTGAAACAGGGATATTCAGATATGAGGAATAATTTAACAACACAGGCAAACAAAATCATCTTAAATAATCTTTGGCAGTGTTTTATTTTTAATTCTATTTTAGGAAGAATAGTACACACACACACAGACACAGACACTCACACACTCACATACTCTCACACTCTCTCTCACACACACACACACACACTCACTC